CACTACACAAAGAAGTTTATATTTCATTAGTTACCAAATAAAATAATTTAGTCATTGCATCCATAGCTAGAATGCAGATCTCTTTTCCAACAAGGGGTGCAGCTGCACCAGCTCTCTAGCCAGGCAGGGCTACAGCATCACCACTGCTCTCAATGTGTCTGGTTTTGTGTGTGGCCTAACACATCCCTTATGCTATACAAAACTGAACAGCTTCATCAAGGCTCATATAACCCACACATTTTGCTTGGATATTCTCCTGGGAACTGGGATCTGTGTAGTCAGTGGCGAGGGGAAGAGGAGGAGGTGGCTGAGCTGAGTCTTCCTAAGCTGAGTGGCTTAAATCCAGGCCCTGTGAGGCTAACCACCACCACTGACCTCTTCCTGCAATGGCTGCCTGGCACCAGGCTTTAAAAACTTGTAACTTCAGGTACCCTTAAGGCTCACTAAGTTTGGTAATAATCAGTCTACTGGCATTTACAAGAAAGAAAATTTTTTTTTTACTGAAGCAGCAGCATTGCCTTGCAGGAAGGAAATCTGATTGGGTTACCACTTCTGATAGACAACTACGTTCCGCCGCTGGAAGGCCTGCCTATGTTTGTCCTTCGCTTGGCCACAGAGGTATATTCTCTTAATGATTTTATTGATTCACAAATGATTTCTATTTAGGAAAGAATGAAGTGAATGAATTTAATTCATCAGAAGCTGCAAAGAAAAGGCTGCAGTCAGTTGAATGTAGTGTTACATCCTCTAGAAGCTTTTGCTATGGTTCCTGGTGAGTTGTGCTTTGCCTCTGCATTCATAACTGACTGAATGAGCGTATGTTTTGATTTGAAAGCCTGCATCACTACCTTCTTTTTTTGTTCTATACCTTTACCTTATCAGCACAAAAATGGCCAAGACATTATTATGACTTTTCCATGTTAAGAATATCTATCAAGTCTCTGACTGCTACCCAGATTTGATTAAATGACTTCTTTTTCTTGTAACAGGTAAACTGGGATGAAGAAAAAGAGTGTTTTGAAAGCCTAAGTAAAGAATTAGCTATGTTCTACTCCATTAGAAAGCAATATATAATAGATGAAGCCAACCTGACAAACTCTCAGGTACAAGAATATGTAACCAGTTGTATGAACAAACAATTCACACCACAGAGGAAACCTTTTTGAACTGTAGACTTCTAGTCCCACCTCTTTCAGTGAAGTGAATCAAGTAGCAGTGTGGCAAGAATCTGAAAGAATGTGGCTTAAATCTTCTGCAGTATTACATGTATTCAGAGAACCTTTTAACTCTGCGTATCGCAGTGTACTTAATATTACAACAGTCCTTGGCCTCTGAGTTTGGGATGTATTTTTTTAACCTGCTGAGCTATGATAAATTTCTACAGATGAATAAGGATGGATATAAATTAAACATAGAGTCTGCTTGTGTCTAAGTATCTGCTTAATCATTCAGTTAAGCTAGCCCGTTCTGCAAATGAGTTTCCAGAGCTTAGAATTAACTTGACTGTATAGAATTAACTTCTCTAATACTAGCAGAATTTTAAAATCAACAGTTTTGCATAATTTAAGTTTCTTAGGGAGTAGTCTCCTCTAGTAAAAGAGAATTTCAGTTTGTCTTTTTTTCTGTATTTCAGAATGAAGATTCTGAGTCTGGTTCAACAACATGGAAATGGACTGTGGAACACGTACTTTACAAAGCTTTTAGGACTCATCTTTTACCTCCTAAACACTTCACAGAAGATGGCAACATTTTGCAGCTTGCTAACCTGCCTGACCTGTATAAAGTTTTTGAGAGATGTTGAGCAAGTAGTTGCTACAGACTGATGCAGATCTAAAAACCATTCATGCTACACTGTTTTACTTAAAAGATAAAGCTGGACTCTTGATGGAGGAAAAAAACAGAGGAAAAAACAGAGGGGATTTAATATCATACTAACATGATAGCAAATGGGTCAATTTTCCTTCTGTTGATCAAAGAATAAAAAGAACTCATTAAGCTATGTCTAAACCCACCTGAAGTTCCTAAAATAAAATTTTCACTTATGCTTTGAGCTTCACTATTCTGCAATATATTGACTGGATACAACTAAAGAAAATTAAGGAAAGGAGATAGAGCTTAACTTAATTGAAACGTGCTTTAACTTTAGCTTTCATCTTACCTACCTCCCTTTAAGAATTACTATTATGCACTGGGAATGTGCATGCAAAGCACTTAATCATGTTACTGCAGGAGCTAGTCTTGTAGTATTTCAGAACCTTTGTTCATCAAGGAGTCTGAAAATGGGAGCAGGGATCCCCTGACAGACAGCAAAGGAGCACGCACACGTACCATTCAATTCCAAGCAGAGCTGCAGCTGACAACTGGACTTCAAGCTCCAGGGTGAGAGGAAGCCATTAGCCTTGCTCCGGCAGGAAAAAAATGCTTGAGCTTTAATTTGACCTAGACCTTCCCTGAGCCCATCACAGGCTTGAATTGTCACAAGGAGGCCCTTGGTGCTAGGCTGCAGCTTCAACAGGGTGGTTTAGAGGAAGTGAACTAGGAGCAGATGTGCTCGCTACCATCCATGAGACAAGTGATGATTCTCCTGTTAAGACTTGATAGCAACTAAAGTGAAATAGAATGGCTGTGAAGGTAGTCTCAAACCATCTGCTTCAATGTAGTTCTTGCAGATTTCAATAGCATCGCTTTCATCTTCCTCTCGTCTTGTAGTCCCCCCAGAATGGTCTTTATTTAGTGTTGAAGCCTCACGTCCAGCAGGACAATTAAGCAAGTGATCCTATTTGTGACTCAAGCCCACTTCTAATAAACGATCTCCCAGCCTACCTGCAGTCTCATACCCAGAGCTGAAAAGAGAAAAGAAATCCTGCATCTACACAGCCCTAAACAGTGTTGAACATAAGCATCCATCTGCAATTTCTGGTGCTCAACATGTTCAGGGCTGGGAGTTTGACAGCTGCAGTGGCTTACAAGCCCCTGCTGCTAGTTTATCGATTTGTTGAGACTGTATAAGGGGCAGACTATGTTTTAACGCTTTGAGGACTGGCTTTTGGTGGAAAAATCCTATAAACTTAAATCAGTCACTGCTGTGATTGGAAGAGACAGACCACAGCCCGTGCTGTCTTCCACCTGTTATGCTTCTGTTCCACAGCAAGGGAACTACAACAAAGCACTATGGTCCACATGCACGAGTTAACACATGAAGAATATGTTGGTACTTAATATTTGTCATGCAGGCTGCTAATGATGGCTATATAAGGAAAGCAACAACACTTACATTCCTTTTCAGGTAGGCATTAGATGTTACCTAAAACTTCTGACCAAGCATTGGTTAACACTTAAGATCTGCATCTGAAAATGCGTATGCTTACACACCTGAACCGAACAGTTAACTACCTTCCTTTCACTGCTGGGGTAATAGGGGTCTTTGCAAAGGCTCACCTACTCCACTTTCTTGCTTGAACCTGGAGAACATCCACCTCCGGTACAGGAGTGGGTAAAAAGCCCCCTGCATCCTCTTGATACCATCTATGCCACAAAGAAATGATGTTCCACCACCACCGCATCCCTACAGGCAGCCCAATGGCACTTTGCACAAAGTCTATGCAAAGTGGAATCCTCTCTACTCCACGAGAAATAAAGGGAGTGGCATATTCAGACTTTCACTGGATAAAGCAACAGAATATAATGCATTACCAGTGTTTTAACATTTTTATTTTAGAAAGTGAACATATCCATTAAAAAAGAAAATGCACAGAGTTAAAAAAAAGTAAACATAAAACTAATGACAAAGTTGCAATAACATAAAATAATTTTACCTAGTGAGTCCCAACAGTCATTAAATATACTTCCACCATAGAGAAGTTTTACTTCATTATATTATCAGTCTCTTGATTAGGTACACAAGACAACACTTTCCAGTAATTACCTAGTCATTAGAAGATCAACTTCAGGAATCACTGAATAATAAAATACATCATGGACAAATAATTTCATACCACCTGGGAGGCAACCTAATATACATATGTCAACAAGGTACATCTTTGTGAGGTATTACAGTACATGGGAACCGTTCCCTTTGCTTTCTAATGAATAAATTCTCCTGTCAGCAGCTCCACCAGCAAGTCAGCCACAGACTCTGTTGCCAGTTTCCAAACCCCAACAATTTCCCTCAGAGATTTTCTTTCTGTAACAGATTACACAAATCAGCATGAATGAAGATGCGAGTTAAGAAGCCAGATACTGAAAACAGGGAGGCTGAAAAGAAAAAGGCATCCACTCTTCCAGACGAGCACTAGAAGGTTTCAGATTAGAAGCTTCAGCTTCTCAAGAACATTTAATACCTCCCCTAGCTTGAGCTTTACTGTGTGTGGTGAAGTGAAGGCATGGGGCAAGATAATTCCAAAAGTAAATGAAAGAATTTCCAAAATAACCTTTCATATTTAACCAAAGTATACTACAAAAATCTTAAAACGCAGTGGCTCAGATTTCACCCATTTGTAGTATTAAACAGACTGAGAAGGGGAAATATTGAAGTAGTTTTGCCCATGCAATCTTCAAGCTGAGTATATTTGCCCTAGACCTAAACTAAAAGAAAATCTCTTCTTAGCACTCCTGCACTGCCATCTCCAAAGAAATAACTCTCCTCTCCACTTCCAAAAAAACTGGAGCTTTCATACATCTGGTCCACCACTGTCCTTTCTGGGACAGCCAGCAAATAACTGCCGGAGGTGTTCCACCCCGAGCCTGCAGGCTCTTACACCGTACTCCAGCCCGGCACCCTCAGGCCCCCGGGCCCGGGCTAACCAGAACGCAGCAGCAGAGCACTCCAACTCTCTCAGGAGCCTGGCAGGTTTTCCTGCGTGAAGGTTGCCAGGACAGACAGACAGGGTTCACACATGATGAATTCCTAAGAGTTAGCCCACTGTTCAAATTATTTGGGAAGGAACTAGGAAGAAAAAAGTATTTTTAGGAATGTTCACGTTCTACGCAAAAGAATTTACCTGCTTTTCCATATTTGCTATACAACTGGTTTTTCACTGTCTTGTTTTTCTTCAGAGTCTTCATCAGATCCTGAAAAGGAAGACAAGCTATTAGGTTAGTTGAGAGAAGAAGAAGAAAAAAGAAGTGGACCACTGTTGGTAATGGCTTATCAAAAGGCAATTCAAAGCAGCTATTTCCCATGAAAATATTTACTTTTCATTTTGGATTTCTTACTTTTTCAGGTGTTTCACATTGAAGGTTTTTTTGTTTTTTTTTCTAACAGTTAGCAAACCCAAAACCCAGCACTGGGATCATTTTTGAAATACCTAACCTGTCGACAGATTCAGTTAGCAAGTGCTTCAAGTTTTCCCTACAGCACACTCGGGACAATCAGCTCCACGTTTGCTCACTGACAAGCCGATTTTCCCACTTGCTACATCCCAACCTTTGGAAGACAGCTTCAGAAGACACTTGCAAAGGGGCCAGAAGTACCGCTTTATGAATTAATAAGTCCTGTATCTCGTGTTCTGGCAAGAGATTGTCTCACTCTTAAGCCAGAAATGAAGCAGGTCCCCTCTGCCTCCCCCTGCCCTCTTCTGTTCCCCTGCCTGCTCTCAGCGCTCTGAGACAAAGCCCTGGAAGGCCCCAAAAAGAAAGCTTAGCTGGTCACAGGGCTACGTGCCCAGAGACAGCTCCTGCTGGAGCCCCGGCTTTGCAGGAAGGCGGCTCCCGGTCATTTCAGAAGAGCAAGAAGGTGCCAGGCAAGCAGGGTGAGCAGCGCTGACCCGCAGCTCCTGATCCAAGCCACAGATGTCTCTGCCCACACCTGAGGTGGCAGTCACTCCTCAGGGACAACTGAGGAAATTATCAGCCTAAGCATTTCACCAGACATTTAAATGAGACTCCCACAGGGTAAAAAAAAAAAAAAGCGAGTAAAGAACTGTCTGTGATAAAATGCCTGGGAGACTTACTTGGGCTTTTGCTGTCAATTTGAAGCTGAACTATGGACCCACATTCCCTCTCACAAAGAAGTAAAAAACTTAAAGACAAAGGTGTTAGCCTTTTTTTTTGGCCAAACTACTGTGAAGTCCTTTCCTTTCTTGGAATAACACATATGGCCTTTCATTTTGAAGCTCAAATTTACAGAAACTGTAGAAATTTATTCTTTCCCTGCTGATTTTCCACTTGCTACCTCCAGAATGACTACTTGGCAACTAGGTCTAATGTTGAAAATGAAGGGTTGCCCCATATAAAGAAGTGGATGGGCAAGGGTATGGCCCTGGACATGGGCATCTTCAAGGAAGACATAAAAAGATAAACATGTTGAAAATTCCAGCAGAGACTATTTTAAATGTCTTGTCCTGACAGCAATGGTTTTAGTCATGTTGCCATGTCAGCAGAGGGGTTTATTCCCCTCTGATATCATTGGGAATATTTCTCTCTAAATATTTTTCCAATCAATATGTAAGGCAAATTGACCAAAAATTGCTCTCAGAACAGTCCATAGTTCGTCTTATCTGAAAGAAATGCATAATTTTGAAGAAAATATCTGTAATTGTGAGCTATTTTTGCTGTACAGTTTCAGAATACTTTGTAACTTCCAGTGAATGTGCTGGAGTTCAAATATATTCATCTGACAGTTTCTTTTGCTTCTCATACCCACAGAGGGTGCTTAAACAAATTGACTTGGCAGTTAGGGCAGACTACGAGAGAGCACGTGAGCTGTTACTGAAACCCAGGTGAGAAGCAGCCGTTCCATAAGCTGCAAGCAATGGTACAGTCATACAGCTGCGGTCACCACGTGCGTGCCGAGGCAGGATAGCTCACTGCGTCACCACCACAACACTGACCCAGCCCAGCTGCCGAGGGAAACGTGTTAGCTCCACTTACACTTCCTCTCCCACGGTATATTCGATTGCCAAAAAAATCCCAGGCTGAATCCAGTATAATACTTTCAACTATTATTCCTTAAGATAGACTCACAGCTTTAACTAAAATACATTTACACTTTGAATCATTAGTTATGCTTGACATTATTTTAATGCTTTGTCCACCCTAGATGGAGCTCTAAGTCATTCATTATGCCCAGATGCTCAGCAACCATAGAGACAGCTATTAAACTGGAAAATATCACCAACATGTTTATAATGCAAGACAGGCAAATGTATCTGTAACAATTAACCGATATTAATATTTTAAATATATTGCATAATACAGCACAGCTTACCAGAAGAGATTTACATTTTAGGGTAAAAAGACTGACATAGGATTTGAGGGTTCACACTGCATCCTCAAATCACTCCAATCCACTCAACCCATAAAGAAATTACTCGTTTCCTTGAAATGCCTGCAAACATACTCTTAAATCTTGCAGTATTTGCATTTATTTTTTGGCTTACTCAGCTCATACCTCATCTAGGTACACACATGATATACAGAGTTAGGATGCAATTAACACTTGCCCTCAGTTTGACACACCCACACAGCTAGCTTTTTATACAGAGAAGGCTTTTTTTTCTTCTCATGAGAAAGGAAAAGAGCCTCTGATTTACATTTCAGTTTGCTTTAGAGCAGTTTCAGGTTCACTGTCTATCCTAAAATATACTGTAAAGCTCCAAGTTTAGGCTGGGTTAAACAGTGCATTGCTGCATAAACACTACTGCTAGCGGATAAGAGATCACAGAATCACAGAATATCTCAAGTTGGAAGGGAGCCGCAAGGATCATCAATAGCAGAAACAAACAATAACCACCCCCTTTTGTTGCGGTACCATTTTCCTTCAGACTTATCTTGGGTTTAACATCTTTGGGGCATGTCAGAAGCCCCACTAACTACGTGTACTGCAACTCATCTCATAGGTAGTAACTACATTGGATTATTGAATAAAAAAGAATCTTTCATTTTAGGATTTTAAAGTACAACTTTCACTTAAAAAGGAAAACATATTTTCTTCCCTTCACCCTTCCCCTGCCTTAGCCTCTGAAGGGGGGTGAAATATGCAGGAGTTTAGTGTCAATATGAAAAATCATTCACTATGCGAACATAACTACCTGCTACAGATTCAGGAGGAGAATAGAACTGCCCATCAGAGAGGACTCCTGGGTGAAGAAGAGCTGCTCGTTCAGAAGCATCCTGTGCTATCAAAAATCCTAAAAACAAAAGAAAACAAAAAAACAAATCCTCAGTGCTATCGCGTAGCATCTTAATGATCAAGTATTGATGAAGAATCTTAAAGACTGATGTATTATATTAGCATTCCCAACAACTTGTGTAAATAAATGTCTCAGAAAAAAAGTAAACTCTTAATTTAACATTTATGTCTTCTATATAACTTCATGCAGTTAAGGAGACACACTCTAGCCAAACAGAGGTATTGTACACATGAATTAAGGAATCCTTCCTTCTACTCCATTCAATTGCATGATTAGGGTGCCATACGTAAATTCATCAATATTCACTAACTAAAACTCTGAAATACATTTTAAATGATCTGATTTAAAAGCTGCCACACACAACCAAATAAATTATTTTCTCACTTTGCTGTTATAAGACTCCTCATGAATGGCTTGCTTTCACCTATCTGTCACAACATACCTAGTGACTCCAACCTTCGACTCCTTTTGGCTCAATTTCATCCAAAATCAGGAAAATTATTTGGAAATGACATAGGGCTATTCTGGTGTGTTTAATACAGGATAAAAACCAAAAGGGTTGGGAGAGAATCTAATTTATCTCATCCTTATTGCCATCAACAGGTCTTCTGATAATAACAGGGCAAATACACCATTTTAGGACAACATAAGGTTATTGAACCTCCATCCCTTACTCTCTGCCACATGAAGACTTATGGGGGGAAAAAAAAAAAAGCAACCTTGATGTTTTACTGAATCAGGAGAGCTGAGGTATGCAGCAGTTATTTAAAAATCTCTTTCCAACTCAAACTACGATTTCTACATATCAATTTATCTTATTAACCAATTCAAAGTCTCCAAAGGAGACATCTATTTTACTTATATTTCCACTCTGTCCAAAGAGGAAGGTTAGTCTCCATACTAAACAATGAGTCACGAGATACTAGAGGACACACACTGGCTGGATTTTAGTTTTAAATCCTGCTCACAGAAGGGAACTTTTAGAGCTGTAAATCTTCAGTGGAAAGACAGTTTTGCCCTTTTTTTCTCTTTTCTTTTTTCTTTTTAAAGTTACAGAGAAAACATCTGTCAATTATAAGCACTGTTGCATTAGGGAGAAAATTGCTGTGGTGGGGTTATTTTGTTTGATTGTGGGAATTTTTTAAGGCAAAACAGAAAGATGGAAAAAAGTCAGCTCATACTCCCACTGGAGACAGAGAAAAATACCTGACCAGAAAGCAAAAGCTATTAAAATCTGTTGTTATTATCTGACTCAGATTTAAGAGCAAATAATGCACAATGTAAGTACCACCACACAACACAATCCAAACGTGCCCATCATTTGTCTGACATAATTGCTTAAAATCAGCATTTTCCAGTGAAACCCCATCTTTTTGGGAAATAAGCAGACTTCAACTAAAAAGCATATATTTCTAAACAAATACCACCTATTTCAAGCTCAGTAGGAATGAAGAAAAAGAAAGTTTGATTGAATCCCACAGGGATTTAGCAATTATCATCTCGATTTTATAAATATGATCAAGTATTTACATGTGTTTGTATCGAGTACTTTATTTGTCTACGAATATCCAGTATAAAAAAAAAAACCTTAAAAAAATCTCTGAACTGGTTAAATTTCTTACCTATTGAGACAAAAGTGTGATGCAGCTGTATTTTCTTACCCTCTCAAAAGAGGAAAAATACAGTTACCCTAAGCTTCCTTTTCTCTAGGCAAAATCCAGTGTATTCATTTAACCAATTTTTCTTGTAGTGGAAAAGAAGAGCAAGGAGATCAAAGGACAAAGACTGCATTTCAGAGCACTAAAAAAACAGAGGCATCCATGCCTGTGTAGTTTTAGTTTTTACTTAACAGGTACACATGCCCTTCCAACAGAATTTCAGACTGTATTTCAGGTAATGATGCATAAATAACAGGTTTGATGTATAATTTCTCTCCTGCTGTTGAAACTAACAGAACACCTGTAGCAGCAATCTATGCTTCATTTCCCTCACCACCCAAGCAATACTCTCCTTCAACTAAATCAATGCGCTTCCTCCATTTAGTTGAATAAATCGAGTGTCAGATAACCTGCTGCCCTATCTTGAAGAGGCTGGAATTCATACTTGCTCTGGTCTCATTCTGTCTGTGCATGAAGCAGACTCTCCACAATACTTCTTTGCTTTCCCTTTTCCACCTCAAAAGAAGAGTTAGTGACATTGAGTTAGTTACTGTGTTTACTCTTCCTAAAAGAGGAACCAGATGCTTTCTCTATGGATTACCCAGAAAATAAAATTTTACAAGTCCAAGCCAGTTAAATATTCATGTCTTAAGCATACAAAATTAATATACATTCCTAAGTGCCTGATAAATTGCTAACCTGTCACTTGTAGCTTTTAATTTTGCCTCCCTGTATTAAAACCCCACTTCTTTGAAGGCATATGTTCCTTTCCAGAAACAGAAAAATTCTGCCATATGATTTAATTTTTCCCACAGCTCTTCAAATTTTGAGAAGCTGCAAGAAGCATTCTTCTGCCAGATAATGTGGGATCAAATGTTGCCAACTGCAGCGACTGAGAGGAAATATCAAAAGCTTACTGTTTTCTTCTTCAGCTTCTTGCGGTAACACTTTAAAGTCCAGGAACCAAGTTTCAATCCAGGCGAGTATGAAGGATATGATGGGCAGCACGTAGCCAAAAGCACCCTGTGAGAACAGCTTGAAACAAAACCACAAAACATTACAGAAGTTACCCTGAAGAATCTTGCTTTTAGGAAAACAACAAAGTAAAACAAACATTTGATTAGAATATATACCTGTGAAATAATTACTTTTGCTAATAAAAAGGCACTGGTCACTGCTGTTGTAAACTGAAAGAGACAGGGTAAGAAGAGTTAAGACTAATAAATGGATTTACTTTCTCATTTCTGCCATTATTTATCAGTTGCAACTTTAAATATTTACCAACAACAGCAAGATCATAGATTAATGAAATGTAACAAGTACAATACAATTAACTTAAAGTGTTATTAAAATAACCACCTTAAAGTTTTAATATGGACATCTCCAAATGTTGCTTTCCACCCAGCAGATAGGCAGTTTAGATGCTACACAGAAGTGGAGTTATATAAATTGTGATCTTACTGTATAATTAATATGCAGCATTTTATTCACCAAGTCCCTTAAAAAAAAAGATCTATCCTATGTATTTGGGAAAAAGCAAACAGCAATTGCTCCAAATGCTTTTCACTACCATCCAAATCAAAAGATCCCTTTCCAATAACAAAAAATCTTTGCAGGAGTAAGTCTGAATTCATGTTTTAATTCACGTACTGATAATTGTGAAAAATTAATCACTTTGAAGACTTGATACTCCCTGTACTCCCTGACATTTAAAAAACAGCAGGTTGCATAAAACATCAGAGGAAAAAAAAAAAAAAAAAAGCAGTGGATAAGTACTGTTCACTTAAGCAAGGCTTCTAACTCTATTAGGGCATTTGGGTCCAGCAATTCTTTAAATAATAGCAGAACCTAACTAGCTTCTGGTAAGCACGGGTAGGATTTAAAGACTAATGGATTCTGTAAAACCTTCAATGAATCTTTATGTATCTAATTGCTTACTACCATGATGGGTTCACTCTCAGCACCTCACAAACAACTGCATCAAATTGTAGGATGTCACTGGAAGAAATATGCTAAAGCTACACAACTAAGAGTAAGGGATTCTGAGAGGTGTGCACTCTCAAGAGTTGTGCTATGCTAATAACACAATTTCAAAAAAATCATGACATGTAATCTCAGACTACTAAACAAACTGCATGCTACTCACTTGAAGAAAGTTACACAGGAACACATTCTATGTGCACCTACCACCGTGTAAGGGGAAAAAAAGCCTAAAATTTACAAGACACTAAGCCAGCAATACGCCTATTGTATTACAATCTATGGCATTGACTGGTGGAAGTATGAATTTATCATCAAGTTTCGCATTCTTTCTCACCCACACAGTACAGCTGCATTAAAGATATTTGCTCCAATCCACTGTGATTGTCTACAGCTCTCAAGAACTTCCTTTCTAAGAAAGGATGCATATTCAACATTCTGTATTGGAGCATGAAGCAACACAGGTGCTAGTGCTCAGTGGATGGCAACTAAAACACTAAAAAGCTAAGAATGTGGGAGTTTATGAACAGCTGGCTCTCTGGTACAACAACGCCAATTCTTTTTGAATACAGTTCACTATTTCAAATGCAAATATACTTCAAGCATTAATTAACAAGTCAGAGGTAACAAGCAGTTACGGCTAGCCATCCATACAGGATTCAAAATAAGTCTTTAATTCGTATTAACACATTATCTAATAAGGATGACAACCACTGTGCTATTAAATTCTTGGTTTTAGGCCATAAATTTTCCAGAACAGAAGTTTTTACTCTGTTACTGTACAGCGAATTTTTATATATAGCATCAAGATGATTCTTAACATACAAGCGTTAAGAGGCATCTAAAATTTTGTCTGTTTGATCCATTCTAGATAAAACTCCATTATGCTTGGCTACTACTCACAGCTATTGCCCACCAATGGCGCAGTCTGCACAATGCATATGCAAGTATTAACACCTTAAATCGAAAGACTGCCAGTAGCTATAGAGAAAGGAAAAAAATATTTGTTGGTTAATTCAGAACACAGAAGAACCACAAGATTCTCATCTCACTGAAAATACTAACTGCTTACAAACAACTTAAAACAGGACAGTCTAAGTACTGTTATTGAGAAACAAATTTGAACGTGTGCTTACAAAACAGAAAAAAAAGCATAATTTCCATTTGTAAAGCAAAGGCACCACTCACATGCTTACATAGGCTCAAATATGCAAGCATGTGCAATTCCACAAGTAAGTTAGAAACATAAGAAAGCTACACAAAGTATGTTCACAATCATTTTACTTGATTGGAATCTAAGCAGTTAAATCTAGATGCAGTTAATCCAGCAAATACCTTCAGCATCTCACTGATCTCAGTGGTGTGCTACCGTGCAAGAATATCAGAAAAAACTGTCAAGACTTCACAAATACAAACAGAAAGTGGGAAGAATTTTTAAAAACAATTTTCTACTTACTAAATTTTTAGTATTTATTGAAATATTAACGTTGCAACAATCAAATATTCTTCATGGAGATGCCTGCAATAGCCATTCCAAATATTTTGCAGTAAAGAAAGGTAAGTTATGGTATTTCTAGGCCAGAAAATTAAATCAATAGCAGACAGATGAGATTTCTGAATCAGGGACCCTAACCCTCAATTTCCCCGTTTTATTCTTTGATATTAGATTGCCTCCAATTTGCCTTAAAAGATGAGTTCAGAATCTAAAAAATATGAAACAGATGCTTAAAAATGAAGAGAAATCAAGGACAGACATAGCCAGAGGTATTATGAACCCATTTAATCTTAGGCAAACATGTATGTTTCAGTGATGTGTAGTAGAAACAGAAGAAAACCTGTATAAGCCCACAAATAATTTTGCAGAATTCAGTGACCTAGTCTATTCCCAGGGAAAAGTCTATTATTTTGCATTACATTTTACATATTTTTATATTAATATTACATATTTTTTAACTCTTGGTTCAACTACAGGGCAACAAAATTTCCAGAGCATCAAGATTCATAGACAACATTTTTTGCTTTCTGCAGTTATGCATATCATGGAGAAATTGCCAGCAAAATAATGAGAAAGAAGGGGAGAAGTAGCAGAGTTTGCTAACTTATGAAATTTTTGTATCTAGTACCTCACTCCATTTGACACAGCAAATGGTCCAATGCAAAAGCAAGGATGAGTTTTTACACCAGTTTCAAAGAGAGATTCTGGATATAGTCATCAATATATAATGACTGATACCAAAACCAACTCATCTCTGCCAGGCAAACAAGATCTAGTAGAATTAATGATCCTGCAAAAACATGGGGCCCTTTAGAGGAACCATAAAGAAACGGCTGTTATTCTGAGATAAGTAACTTGGTCCATGCAGTGCAAAATGCATTGCAATTACAGAGCTACAGTGTTACTGAAAGACAGAGAAATTTCCTAATGCAGTAGAGTTCCTCCCATGTGCCTTAAGGTGCTTATATCTAGCAAAGGAGAATTATACTTTGTTATCTCTTTTTAGTACCAAAAAAAGGTTAAAAAAAAATCTGTTTGAATTAAAACACAGAAATCTGAAAAAAACCTGACCTATATAGGCCAACCCAGGAACAAGTCTCTCCTCACTGCAACTGACTTATTTCTGTGGAAGGACAAAAATGTCAGTTTAAACAAAATGATTTTACAGCTGGAGTACTATTGGTCTTGTCCTCTTAATGAATTATCTTTATATTACATCAGTCTCACATTCCTGACTGAGATTTTTTTCATCTGCTTTTCCACACCTCCCCAAAGAAGAAGGTGCAATTTAAGTGTGGCTAAGCATCTCTATCCACAGGCTCCATGAGCCTGATCCCAAGGGAGACTGGGAAACCCCTAGATGGGTGAAACTTGGCACAAGTCCTTCCAGTTTAAATTATCAAAATCAGCCTTTTCACAGGACTCAAACTAGAAAACATCTGTGGAAGGAGGAATGTGGGAAAACTGTATGTTTGCCTCTTTTCCTTTCTCCTTTTTTTTTTAAAAGAACACTTACAAATATATCAAAATATGAAGAAGAGTAGTCATATTGTAGGACTTCTTTCTCTAGGGTAGTCTCAATGCCTCCTTTTACCTACAAGGAAACAACACACAGAGCTTTAGAACACAAGGTACAGAAGCCAAAATACACACAAATCTAAAGGGTGAAATTAATAGTTCCCCACTGATGCATAAAAAGATCATTAAACTAAGTACAGAGGATATATATGCTAATAATGTCAATTTCAAGATCACTGTCCCTATTTGTTTTTCACAATTATACACAATTTTGAACATGAAAACATTTAGGATTATCACCTGGCCTACACAAGCTACGTTTCACACTGTCCCAAAATAAAGAGCAAACAAGTTGTTGTGGGAAGAAGAAATGATTAAATGTTAAGGTCAGCTACACAAATTCACAGAGCATTTTATGTCTCATAAGGAGTATCAAAACAGCTGATCAAAAAGCCACCCAGAAACTAGCTCTAGTTAGACACATGTTAGCAAATAGGAAACAAAACAGTAACTGAATTCATATTCCAGATATCTTCCTTAACAGCATACATACTATTTGTTTTATGAGAGGTGAGCAAAAAAACCCACTGTGTAAGACACAGAAACTGCAACTATTAGATCATTCTCCCACAAATAACTAATGTCCACATCTAATTCTTTCATTTACTTGAGGGGATTCAAAATTACATCTTCCTTAGCCACTGTGTATCTTTCCAGTGGAAGGATTCTAGTGTCACCCTCTTGTTCAAACTGGGTTAGTATGAAAATCATTTAGGATGTATTAGGTCAGAGAGTGAGGAAGAATATATACCTTAGTTGCAAGTGAAAAACCTCAGTGTCCATACTGTTACTAATATTAAATTCAGTAACTAAGCACTACATGTAATAAGTTATGTAAAGCACTGGAAAACACCACTGACAGAAGGCTTTAATAACAAGTTTGACTGCTGTCCATCTTTTAAAGAAAAGAGGTACCAAAGCACACCAACAACATATGCTCACCATCTCAAAGCAATGCAGTCTAAACACTTCAACACTTCTCCCAGCTATGCTGCTGGACAGTGTTTTCCTGAGACTATTCACTCCAACCCCAAATTTCTATTTCTTCTCCTCTCCCTCCCATCTATAGCTACCTGACAAATAACTTTTTAAATATAGCTTCCTCTTGGTCGCTCTAATGCATCAGGTGTGATCACCCGTTTCCAGCATAAATAAGGAGGATCAACCTGGCGCCCCTCCAAGCAGTTCACTGTGTGGCTGCATGAGCACCATGCTAACATAAGGATGAACAGACAACCACAACAGACTCAGTTTAGGGCTTGCTCAAACTGCCATGGAGCTACTCTCTGAAGTTTTTAAAAATAAATTACATCTAAGCGCAGTTGATAATGGTGACAAAGGGAAAACAATACTTACAGGAACTCTGGGAACAATTCTGAAGTCCCATTATTTATGTATCAGTGACAGGCAGTTCTAACGCAGTGCTATTCGACTTCCCAATGAACAAAGCTTGATTTAAAAAACAGATCAGAAAAACCTAACCATGTGTCAGATCCCAGATATCAAATGATGACTATTTTGAATTTCGAAGACAAAAAACCGGTTTTCATTCTTGCTGACATTTGACAGTATAGGACTCCAGTTCATAATATGTTCTCCTTAAAACAAAGCTTCTCACAAAGAAAATAGCCAGGATCTTGAAGTCCCCTAATGCAGCAGCACTCAAAGTGAAATGTCATGAGTTGGTAGCATTTTCTACAGAGTCTTAAACATTCTGACAGCACTAATATAAAAATCTGTACTCTGAATCCTCAACAAGAGATACAAACCCAGACTCGGCTCCTCTTAGTTGAACAAGCTGTTGAGAAACTGGCCTAAAAAAAGAAATGTGTCGGAACACTATGCTGCCTTTCTGAAACAAGCTAACCTTACGTACCGGATACAACAGTCTTTCCACCTAGAGACACGACAGAAATCTAGTCCCAAAACTACAGCGTTCAGCCAAGCAGTCTGCTTTCTCAAATTAAACTGGAAAATGTATTTTTCTCTATACCAATGAACTACTTGAACAGTCAGCTCCTGAAACTTCATAATGTCAGAGCAATAATGTTATTTATCTTGTAAAAGAATGCTGACAAAAAATTTACTCATGGTCTTGCATAGAAAAGGGATTTCTCCCATTTTTCCTGTGTGTCCTTTCTTAAATGCATACTTTAGATTGTAGCTTAAAACCCAGCTCAAGAACTAGGACGTTACCTATGAAATAACAAATCAGCTATCCTATTGCTTTCTGGAAATTTCAGGACAGCTGCCTTGTTTTCCAAATTACAAATGTTGGAGTTAAAAAGTGCAACTGTGGGAGTTTCTGTTGTTTAAATGCATGCTGCCATACACAACGTACAGCATACTAAGCTTGTCTCAAAGAAAATACAGCAAAAGAAAGGTTTTGGTCACTGGGAGTCTTTCCAAGGACTCACACCTCAGGGAAATACCACTGACTTTGAGTTACTCAAAAGGCAAACACTTGAATCCCATTAAAATTCACACTTCCTGTCAAATTCAAAGATGTACAGTAACATTTCTGTTTACTTGCTGCCTGAAGAGTTCACTGGATTTCCAATGGTTTCTTCAGCAAGGTTCATAGACTACAGGAACATCAAAAGATTTAATGGTAAGAAGACAATAAACCATGTATCCTAATGACTAAAAGTAGATGTAGTTGAGTAGATACTATGTTCACAAAAGCTTGCAAGTAAGAAGCTGCTTTAATTTAAATATATAAAAATAGCATATAATTTGGGATAGAAGACAGAAACTTATTAACCACTCCTGAATTGAATAAATAAATTAATAAAGTCTAAGAGTACCGAAAAGACAACTCACATTTAATTCTATTATCCACAGCAAGGTTATGAATAAGAGATCAAACGTAACAAACAAACAGAAAGTCCTTCTGACATCTGATATGCCTTTCTTCTCTCTGCCTTCATATGACTCAATCCTTGCCATCAGCTGCGCTGGGTTGATGGAGTGGACATCCCGCAAGGAAGGACAGGATTCCACACTGCTACTGTGAGCATTTTCTGCATCACCTGGCACCCGATTCATCCTGGGTTTGCTTAGAGTGGTAGTCTTCCAGTTTCACCATCACTAGAATGCTGATCCATATAGGAAGAATTCTAAAAAAACAAAGAAAACCAAAATACATTAGTCACCACAACACCAAAATTCCAGTAGGTATTTTCATCTTACCATGTCAGGTCTCTTTTTGCTAAACTGACAACTAAGAGAATTTGGCAAGTAGGCTCTAAAAATTGTTTCTAAAATAAGGTATATCTAGGCTCTCTTCATCTCTCAGAGGATTTGTAAGACAAGAGAATTAATGTTCAGTTAGACCAGTGGGAATAAGGGATGACTGTCCAGATTTAGAAGGTTCCGTTCTCCACCCTGTTAGACTGACATCATTAAATGGGAATGAATAAAAAGCATGATGTTGTTCATCTTTAAGGCTTCCAATTCTCATTTAAATGCTCTCAATAGGAAGCCAACTTGAAGGAAATTCCACATACAGTTCCTGAAAAATGGCAGTTAGCTACCAGCACATCCAGAGCTGACACAACTAAAAAATTAAACTCTATTAAAAACCCTGGATACTGTAGTAATTGTTCTATAAAGCAAATATACTGCTATTTACTCTATAAATAAATTCAGCTGCTGTGACAACTTACATGGCCAGACAGGGTCTTTCTGAAAAAATTGTATGCAACCCAGTAGTTATAGGTAATGCAATTACCCTAAATCTCCTTCTGACTACAATACTTTAAAAAAAAAAATTCAGGTTAAATTTCTTATAAAAGTGGAGCAGTCTGATGTATGATTCACCACACTACTCCATGAGAACCTTTTTTCCAATTACAGCTTCTAGAAGGAATTGACTAAGAAGGTCACAAAAGTTTCAAGAAACACACAGAAAACTTAATTTTATGCAAAATACTCAGAAGATTAAGCTACACATCCTGCAATACAAATCACATCAGACAAGCTTCTGTGACACTTGGGGAATAGCTTTTTGAAATTCAAGAACAAAACTTTGTCTTTTCCTGTGGAGGCTGTCTTTCAGTAAACCGCAAAACAAAGATAAACCTTTCCCACTCTTCTATTTCAACAGTGTTTCAATTTTATGTCTGCAAGAATGCAGTCAGACAAAGCACAACAGGAAAAGCAGACAGGGGATCTGTAACACAGTTAGGCAAACACCAGGATACAAGGACACGGGGCGGGTGGTGGGGGGGGGGGGGGAAGGAAAGGTGGGGCAGGGAGTTGCCAGTGCACACACATCACAGCCGAGGAAGAGGCAGGCCAGCCAGGGATGGCCAATGTCTAGGTCAAGTCACACATAACAACCTTCAGGTAGTTCAAAGTCTGCTTTCCTTGGGCTACACCATGAGAACAGTAACAGACCTGCACCCAGACAGAAACTACCTTGCCAGCTGAGTCTCTGCCTGCAGGGAACAAGCGATTAGAGGCAAACCAAGCCGGTATCAATCACCATCTCATTCTGGGATGTGGCTGTGGGCCAAATCAAGCACAAGGCCAAGACCAAGCACAGGAAGCTACCGCCATCCTGCTCCTGCCTCTGGCTTTGCCAAGCCAACCCAAGGTACACATCTTCTAGGTCTCAGCTGTAAACCACAGGACCAAGAAAGCTGAAAGGCCTTTTGCTGGGCCTAATCTCCTTTAATGAGATGTTAAGCAGAGCACAAAGGATCGGAGAAATTAGGTGGGAATATGAGATTAAGATAATCAGTTTCATCATTAACCGGAACAAAAATAAATGCATAAATTGCTGTACTGCACTCATTCCTGTTTCTGGATCTTTTCAAGCAGATTTACAACTGAGCATCTTCATTACTTCTCATTCTCACTCTCTTGTTTACCCAACTCTGAGTGAGAGGTGTCAGGATTTGTGCAATGACTTTTCCCAGTAAGTACTAGCCTCAATTCTAACACATGCTCTCTCCCTCCCTCTGAATCACGCACAAATTAGAATTTATAAACACCATTAGGCAGGTGGACAAACTCTGAAGCTGAACAGAACTTTTATCAGGTTTCTAACTCTCAAAAAAAAATAAAACAACCCACACTTGTACAGTTATAGTTTTACAGTTTGTACAGTACAGCTTTACAGTTGCAGCAAAGGAGGCAAATCCTAGATGAAGGAAGAGGTACTGATGTTGCAGTATTGTTTAGTTTTGTGTTGTTATTATGCATCCTAGACCTAGGTAGCTGCAGGCCACCAGATGCCAAAAGCAAAGGAGATCAGAGACAGTGTTATATTCCTAATTATAAAACCATTTTTACCCAGCTGAATCTCCATCCCATAGAATAAAACGTATCTTTATTTGTTGATCAATTTTCTGACTTACTGGTAAACTTTCTCAGGACATCAAATTAATGAGTCTGCATCAGCAACATCTCACCCCAAGATTTCTTAAATCACTGACAGTAAATAATGCAGCTTATCAGAAGGGCTGAACCTCTGAATAACTACTCACAACTGGTATCCAGCTTCCAAAGTTGGTTCTGTTGTGGGCTTGAAGAGGGGATATTGCCTAAAATTTGATACTTTTTCCAACCATACCAATTGAACTAGTGAAACATATCCCCTCTTCAAACAAACCTTGCCCTGTCAAAGGGATGGGGTTTCTTTAATTGCATGTACACTTCATACTCTGCAAATTTCCAAATAAAGATGATGTTTTATGCCAGCACAGTATCTGTCTCGGATTTTTTTTAATCAAATGTGCTTGTTGAACACAGAGCAAGCCATAAGCGACTGGCAGTGTCCCCTCCTATCATGAGAGAAAGCTTACCCAAGCAGATGACATTTTTCCCTATTTCCTGCCAGCTGAGACATCCTAGACGGGAAATCCCATTCAGGAACCTATAAGGTTCATGTTCCACATAGGTAAAAATGGGAGAGAAACAGTAATGAAAGAGCAAGGTGAAAAAAAGAAGGGAGAAGAAAAAAGTTGTTTTCTGAAGTGAGCTGCTGAATTTGGACATTGAAAGTGCCTAACTCCCTTCCATTTCATTTCCACCTTGTGCTAGCTCACACTGCCAGAATGATATTGCCCTTAGGAATATTTGTTCCAACAGTCTCACTCCTACAGATGTGGATGAAAAGGACAGATGGTCCCCATGGGAAAGTTTAGGAGAAATAATCAGAGGGAGAAGGCCAGAACAAAGCAAATCAGGACACGTTCCTGGGCACCTCCTGCCTCTCCCATCACACCAGCCACCCGAGCTGGACTGGCAAAGCGGGCAATGGCGCAAGCTAAGCCACAGGAAGCGAAGCCCTACTGCGCTTCAAAGATCGGGGCTAATATTGTCTGTATTAGAGCAGCGGTCGCATGATGTCAGACGTGCTGCTCACTAACGAACTCTCCTCCTCTGGAGGATCTTTTTTAAGAGCAGAAGGAAATGTTGGATATTGCCTCCACGGCGAGTTGTGTCCCAGCCAGCCAAAAGCACCAGGCAAGGGCAGCCAAGCACAACACATCCTTAAAGCTCCCTCCTTTATTTCTACAGCAGCTGCCTGCAACACGGCTGTCAAAGGGCTTCCGAGGAGGAAGACATGTGTGGCATGTGTTTGGTCAGGTGTCTCAAGCGCTGCAATGAACTTTGGGCCACCTGAACCCGAGGGTGTGAGCAGAAGCCCTGCGCTCCAGTGCTGTAAACAGCATTTGCTTTGTACTGAAAACCCTCGCAGAGAAGTGTCCTGCTGTGCAACAGGCCTTCAAGGGAAAACATCTGGGGAGAGACAGAAACCCCAGATCAGGCTGTCAATGGCTATACTTAAAAAAGAAAAGAAAAGCCAAGAAATTGCTAAAGAAATAAAAGACCCAAGTGGCACCTGCACTTCCAAAAAAAAAAATTTCCATCTACATTGGCTAAAAGACTTTTTTTTCTTTTTCTTTTTTTTGGTGTGGCAGTCTGTGCAATTATCTAGGAATTTGGTACTTCCAGCCTGGATTGCTGCTAGATGCAGCACTACATGGGAATGCAATTAGTACAGCTAGAGCTAATTAATTCAGGATGTGCTATAGTTCAGCAATCATTTGCCTCGTGGGGCCCTTTGCAAAGAGGAAACCGTGGTCTTAAAATGCACTGGCTACCACTTCGTTTTCAGGTGTAACTCAGAGCATGGGGTTTAGCTTATAAATTCCATACGGTCTGAAATCCTTGCTACTGACAGACTGTCTTTTGCCTCAAAGCCCTCTGGACAGGGGGCACTCCTGGCAAGGGAATTGTCTCTAGCCTTGCTCTGCCTGCTGATCCATTAGATCGACATTTGGACACACGCGAGGGCCTGCCTCATCACCCTGAGCTGGCATCAAAATGTTGAGACTCTAACTGAAGAGACATAGCCGGGCAGCTTTGGGCACTCATTGCATCAGTTTTGCAAACTGGTTACTCACAAAGCGTGTGCTAGAAGATTGATTTCCATAGTTCCTTTCATAATTCCTTTGTATCTCAATAATATAAGCAATAACTTCATCACAACAGCATTCTCAGGTGGTTTCAGGGGATATATAAAAAGCAAAATCTTCAGTCCTTCTTGGCAGCCATCTTACAGGTGCGCAGGGACTCTTACAGAGTGTCGGATGGCCATTAGGCCAGCCACCTCCTTACCCATCTCTGCATTACCAGCAACAACCTTCCTCTTCACTAAATGCCTGCAGAATTCATTTTAAAAGTCATCAGCAATCTTTCTTTCACACTCCCAGAGAGTAAAGTATATCCCCACACACAGCAGTGACACTCACTGCATCACATTGACCCACCAGTGTTTCATCTCTTGTAGCATTTCCAGTGTCTGGGCTGATTTGGCACTTTTTCCAATGAAAGTTCCAAAATGGAAGCTCAGTTACTGCCAGCTGTGGTTCTATTCTTCCCTAGGAGGCAGACGTGCATTTTGAAAGTGGCTGGACTGACACCACCAGCTTCTGACACCAACAGCTTCAGAGCTGACCCACACAGCCCGTCCGTTCCCCAGCCGGCTGGTGGACAGCTGGATCTGCGAGCTGTCACTGCATAGAGCTGGACTCCAGAAGGATCCTGATGGGTGAAAGCCCCTTTAATGTATTTCTCAAGCTCCACCCTTCATGGTTTTCTGTAAACAAATGCATGAAACAGTGAGGCTCATAGTTAGGTCCTCTGAATTTAGATTGCAGAAAACCATCATTCAAGATATGTGGACTTTCTGACTTCTCCAAAAGATACATTCATGGGGCACATCTTACTCTGGATTTCACAGCATCCACGAACCAGGAAAAGCTCTATCCCATCGTATAGTTCTACGGCCCCCATACTCCCTACCACCTGGAGCTCTGACAGAAGAGATATTCCCTACATCCGTAAGCTGTGTGTGAAGAACTGCAGGGTAGAAATAGGTAACACAATGTCAGGTGTAGGTCACAGCTTGCCTATGAGCCATGGATGTGGTGCATGCAAATGCACTCCTGTGTCAGACAAGGTGTTTCCACGGGAAAGCCAGGTGCTGTGCAGAGTGCTGCTGAGCACCCACCTGGACCACTATGGACATTTCGCATTACTTGAGTTGAAGAAAGATAAACTGCATCTGGGAGGAAGGCAGACAAAGACTAAGCAGTTGATTAGGAGCATGGAGGACATACAAAAAAAGAAGACAACTGGAAGGAGCAAGATAAAGGGTGAGAGGGCTGCCGCCGCTTTCAAGAAAGATATGAAGGAGGAAGGCCAAAGGAGAAAAAGGGCTACTGAAGTGCAAGGAAAAACGTGGTAAAGAACGAGAAACAGTTCGGGACTTCTTTCCAAGAAGAGACCTCACTGTCAACAGTGTAGGAGCAAATCTCCCTTGGAATAGTGAAGAAATCATGCCCAGTCTCTGTGTCTCTGCAAAGTTCATGCAGAGGCAACCAAAACCTTTTCTTCTACCTCTGTCATCACAACCAAATAAATGGTATAAATGCCCTTTTTTATCTGAATGTACATACCAGTTCTGGCACAAACATACAAAATGACAAGAGCAATACCGCCCTTACTCTTTCAGTCCTCAAAATACTAAATCCTAAAGGAAGAGGAGATTTGGCAGTGTTTTATACAAGATCTAAACATCCTCCCACAAAGTGAGGTAAAGAAATAACTCTCAGAAAGGTGAAAGACGCAAAGGAGCTGTGGAAGTTTTACCCAGTGGCTGAAGCGTGTTCTGTGTCCCATGTAACACGGCCAACTGCTCAGCGTGGTTTCAGTGGGAAAAGGGGATGTGACAACGACAGCAGCAGTGGGCTAATTTTGCCATTTGAGCAAGTCATCTTTTGCCTGGCTGTGCTTTGGGCATTCAAATGTTCTAGGTCTGACAATGACCAACCTTTCCACCACACCCGTTTCACCTCCACTCATTTTCCAAAGCCTGTGCTATTTCCATGGCAGTCTGTGGGCATCGTCCATCCCAGCCTATGGCTCTGGTTACACTCTGGATTTCCTCCTGGCTGCAGCTGCTGAAACGAGCCCCCGTAATACACCCAGAGAAGGGTCTGTGTCCCTGGTCCTCCTCGCTGCGGGGCCTCATGGACGTCAGCTCAGTGCAGAGAGGGGACGGCTCACGGGGCGGTCTCTGGGCTGCGGGGTTGGCTTCTGCCATGGCCTGAAAGAACAGCAACAGCACGAGGTTTGTCCTTGGAGCCGAGCGGCAGAGGACACGTCGGGGACGCCCCGCAGCTGGGCCCAGAGCATGGCCACCAAGGGCAGGGACAGGCCCCGGGGCCTCCTGGGCACAGGGGCTGCCTCGGGGCCGGCACCCCAAGGCCTCGCTCCCAAGGGGGCTGGGCAGAGGGGCGGCCGGCGGGGCTGCGCGTGGGGGCCCCGTCACCCCCGTGTCCCAGGGCCACCCCCGGCAACGCAGCAGCCACAATGCCCCAGGGCAGGAGAAAAGGGAGCGTCCTCCCGTGTCCCTGCCAGAGCTGGCCCGGGGCAGCCCAAAGACATCCCAGAGGAAATCCTTGAGGGGCCAATGGAGTTACTTGGAGGAAACAGAGGGTGAAAAACCAGAGCCTGGACGAGGCTGCTGGAGGGTCTCTGCTGCAAGGCCAACTCTTATCAGGGCCAGGTTCAAAGCTCAACTGATGGACGGAAATCCTGCTTCAAGCCTTTGGGGAACAGACACAAGTCCCTCAGGAAATCAGAAGAACCATCAATTCCTGGATGTGTCCAAGGCTGTCAGGTCTTTTCAGCTGGATAGCAGTGGCAAGACCAAGGGAATGCCTTCTGGAGGCGCACCGCAGAGCTCACCATCCTCATCCTCTGCAGAGCCAGGGGCAACAGCTGTAAGAAATGGGATGTACAGATGTTGCAAGGGGTCCCAGTGCTTTGGAGCACCCACTGGTGCCCTGCCAGGTGCAGGAAGGATTCTTGCCCCCAGGGTCAATCGGGCCAGGGGCATCTGGCCACTCTCAGAAGCCCCTGAGAAGGCTCCAGGCTGAGGGAGAACGGGGCTGGGGCATCTCCTGGGAGGTGTGACCAGCCTGTGGGACAAGGAGACAGGTCTTGCTCACATGCTCAGGGAGCAGCCGATCGCCAGCACTGGGGTCAGGAAGGAATTTTCCCCCAAGGCAGATTGGCACTGATCCCTGGGGGTTTTTTGCCTTCCTCTGCAGCACTGAGCATCACCACTTGCCAGGGCTCCTCTGCTCCATTTTGGCTAGGTTGCTGCCTGCTGCTCCTGCTCCACAAAGGTGGCCCTCGTGCCCCACATCCAGGGGGGAGGAAGCTTTCTAGACTCCTGGGGAGCCCCAGGGTGGCCCCGGGAGTTGCTGCTTGTCCTCCGTGGCACTGAGCACGGCCCCGGGTCAGGCTCCCGCGGGCCCTTTCGGCTCGGCTCTCGCCTGCGGCTCTCGCACCCCCACGGCCCCACTCGTGCCCGGGCTCTCTCGGGCTCTCTCGCCCACGGCCAGCTCGCAGCGGCAGTGAGCTCTGCTCTTCCCTTGGCTCCATGTCCCCGGGGGCTCTGGCCTGGGCACAGCAGCCCGTGCTCGGGAGGGCTCCAGGCTCGCGGCACCGCCCGGAGCTGCCACTTTCCAGCTCTCCCTGCCCCAGCCCCAGCGCCGGGCAGGCACGGGAGCGCTGCTCACGCATCGCTGGCCAAGCAGCACAGCGGGGGAGCCGGGCTGGGGAGGCAGAGGGTGTGCTGGGCACCCGTACGGGTCACACCTGGGAAAGTACCGTGGCACCTCTTCTTTTGTGTGTGCTTGGTACTGATCCTCAGGCTTGCTTCTCAGGAAACAGCGACCGCTTGGCCTCTATTCAGGCTGCCATATTAGTTGAGTTTCTGCATCCTAAGTGATACAGGACATTGGTTATAATCCTTTCTTCTCAGAGGCTAAAAGAAAATTATTTAGTAACAAGAGAGGAAATCTAATCATAAAGTAGCTGTGAGAACGTTTGGGGGGGTGTTGTTTTTTTGTTTTTTTTTTTTTTTTACAATGGCAAAATACAAATTCAGGTGAAAAAAAATTCATTACCAAAAAAAGAGAGGAAGTCACTTTCTTAAATCTTTAGAGTTTGTTCTAGAAAGAGCCTTCCTTGTGCATCACTCAGCTATCTGCTTTCCTGCTCCTGGCAAAGGTTAATATTTTTATGTTAATTTTTGTTTTTCCAATGTCAGTTACATAGTTTCAGGACTGTTGCTTCATCTGTGGGTTGACCCAGTGTCTGCCTCTGATTTGAAGGAGCCTGGGTTCAGCTGGCACCCTTTCTTTCGGCTCCAGGCACTCCCATTATTTGGGTTATTCTATATGGCAGGCTTCAGGAAGGATGTGTGGCCAAAATAAAGCACGTCCTATGAAGGAATGAAGTTTACAGACTGACGTGCTCACTCCTTGCTGCGCCTGGGTGAAGGACATCCACCAGGAAGACACACAGCCCGTAAGTCCTGATATTGCAAGGAAAAGCTCTATGGGCAAACTTGCCTGCAGCGGTGGAGTTCATGGCAGCCGTGCTGGACACCAACCGTGCCATTAACTCCTTGTCACAAGAGACATGGGAGTGAGCCAGGAACCGCTATCCCCATGCAGTCTCAACAGCACACGGCTCTCCACAGGACGGAGGGGATTTGCGACTTTCTGGAGCTCTCTGACTTCCCTTTGCCAGGCTTCAAGTGATGTTTTTTCAAACTAAACTGAGGATTGCATCAGCCTGCTCCTGGCTACACTTGTGCATTGTGTTAATGCTTGTGAGCATCGGCTCTGAAACAGAGTCAGACAAATAAAGTAAAATCCTGTTTCCAATTGTATCCTTCTGTTATGTGTCCTTGAAACTGGCTTTGGAGCTGAAAAACTCCTGGCATTGCAGGCAAATAGCAGCCTCATTGTTATTCAGCTCATCATGAGTGCAGGAGAATAGAATACAACCGCCCATCAGAACGGGACCTACAACCATCCTGTAGTCCCAACTGCTTGACCACTTCAGGGCTGACCGAATGTTAAAGCACGATATTAAGGGCATTGTCCAAATAAATGTCTCAAACACTGACAGACATGGGGCATCGACCCTCTTTCCAGGAAGTCTGCTCCAGGGTCTGGCCACTCTCTCTGTAAAGAAATGTTTCCTCATGGCAATGCCAAAGCTCCCCTAATGGACGCAGCTCTGAGCCGTTCCCAGTGTCCTGGCACTGGGTCCCAGGGAGAAGAGCTCAGCACCAACCTCTCCCCCTCCCCTCCTCAGGGAGCTGTGGGGAGCAGCGAGGTCGCCCCTCAGCCTCCTTCTCTCCAAACTAGACAAACCCCGAGCCCTCCGCCGCTCCTCAGAGGATGTGCCTGCCAGCCCCTTCACCAGCTTTAGTGCCCTCCTCTGGTACCTTCACATCCTCTTTAAGTCACAGAGACCAGAACCGCACACAGTACTCAAGGTGAGGCCACACCAGCACTAAATCCAGCAGGATAATCCCCCCTCCTGCCCGGCTGGTCGTGCCATGATGGATGCACCCCAGGATGGGGTTTGCCAGGGCACACACTGCTGACTCCTGCTGAGCCTCCTGTCAGCCAGCACCCCCTGAACCCTTCCTGCAGGGCTGCCCCCAGCCACACCTCTCCCAAGCTATACTTGTGTCTGGTGTTACTGCGTCCCAAGTGCAGAGCCCAGCGTTTATTCTTATTCACTTTCATGCCCTTGATGATTGCCCAGTTCTCCCACCTATCCAGCTCCCTCTGAAAGGCCTCTCGAGAGAGTCAACAGCACCTCCCAGTTTAGTATCACCAGCAAACTCGCTAACGGTGCATTTAACTCCTGCAGCCAAATCATTGATAAATACACTGAACAGAACTGGCCCTACAATTGAGCCCGGAGGAACACCACCGCTGACAGGCCACCAGCCAGACGTAGCCCCGTTCCCTACAACCCTCTGAGCTCTGTCCTTCGGGCAGTTCTTCACCCAGCGCACCGTGTACCTGCTCACCTCACAGTTGGACAGCTTGTCCAGAAGGATGCTGCCGAGGGACAGTATCAAAAGCCTTACTAAAATTCAGAAAAACTACATCCACCACCTTGCCTTCAACCACTAGGCATGTGAAATGACTGAATCTGTAAGCTTACTGAAATGTGAAAACATTTAAGAGGGAAATTAAAAGTCTGTAGTAAGAATCCACAATAGTATATTTGTAATGTATTTTCTTCTTACTCCTTAATTCACAAGATTTTATCTTTTTTTCTTCATAAGCGCATAAGTTCACTTTCGCTCAACTCCTACCACTAAAATATTTAGCTAAGTTAGTTTTCTATACAGATCTATTAAAAGCCATAAACAAAGGGGTTTATGCAAAGTTTGCATCTATTTGATTTTAAATATATGGGTGGTTTTGTTTTGTTTTCTAATCACTTAATTGTTACAACCATAACTCAGGCTTCCAAACAGAGAATTAAATTCCAAAACTTAACCTAAAGAACTAAAGATTTTACTCTTATTAATAGTATTAACTAGTATACTAAGTGAGAAGTAGTTTATTAACATCAGCAAAGTTAATACTGCACTCCTTTCCTGCCCTCAAAGTCTAATGAAGACTTTAGTAATACACAGTGAGAGCTAGCCCATGATTTCCATGTTACATTCACAATTAACACTATAATTTTCACTTATGCTGACAGAAGCAGATGGCACCCATTGCACATGTCAGTTTTACATGTATTTTACAGAAGCAGGATCAGAATGTTACTTTTTGATCATTATACTATCCATATTCTTCTATTGTATTGTCCTTGGTTTAAATTACCTTTGTTTACTATGTTAATGTACCACACATGAGCACCAGCACAACTTATGTTACTTTTTTTGTTTCCAAGGAAAAAACACGGAGCAGAATTTAACTGAGAATCAATAGCAAGTGATTAAAAAAAAAAAAAAAAAAAAAAGCTTATTCAAAGGGCTAGAAACAGGTCAGCAAAATCAAAAGTGAAAGCATTGCATGGAGGCAATTTTAGGAAAAAGCAACACTTTTAGTTTAAAACATCAAAGAAAACATATTTGCAGAAAGTAACCGCAAACAAAATAATACTGTGCCATGACTGCTGTTCAAACCTATTGAAAACCTAGAATACTTTTTACATATGTCTCTGACAACACTAAATACTGCCCAAGAATTCCCACCATAAATAATGTTTCTGTTAAGGTTAAAAAAATAATCTGAATCTTTTTTTTTTTCAATGGGTAAAATAGGATGACACAGCCAATACCACGGCCAAGATGCTAAA